AAAAAATAGTTCCCTTCCTATAAAAACCTGTAAATGAATGACCAAGACAGCTCTATTCATAATTACCAAAAATTGGAAACAACCCAAATGTCTTTCGATGGGTGAATGGACAAACTGTAGAGCATCCATACAATGGAATACTACTTACTCAGCAACAAAGAGGAGCAAGCTAGTAATATTTACACATGCAACAATTTTCATGAATATCGTTATGGTGCAGGAAAGAAGCTAGTCACAAAAGGTTATGTACTATTATGTACACAGTCCTTGACATAAGGATTTTTTGACTTTACTAAGGTGTGATGGTGACATGCATTCAGTAGAAACCGTACCTCGGGTACTCATAAAACAATTTTCACTTTCAGTGGAGTATTTAATAAATTACATGAGATATTTAACACTTTATTATGAAATAGGCTTTGTGTTAGATGTTTGCCCAACTGCAGGCAATTGTAAGTGTTCTAAGCATGTTTAGGGCAGGCTAGGCTAAGCTGAAATGGGCAGTAGGTTAGGTGTAATAAATATGTTTCAACTAAACGTTATTTTCAACTTATAATGGGTTTATTGAACTATAACCCCATCATAAGTCAAGGAGCATCTGTATTATACGTAAATACAATTTATAAGACATTCTGGAAAAGATGAAAGACACAATGGACGCCCAAGTGTTAGGGGTAAGGGTAGAGTACGACACTAGAAAGATAGTATGAGAGAGTTTGGGGGTGATGGAATTGTCCTGGAACTTGACTGTGGTGGTGGCTACATAAATTTACACATGTATTAAAATTTATAGAACTGGAAAAGAAAAATAAAGTTAATCATACTGTACGATAATTTAAAAAGTAAAAAGAAATGTTCAAAACATAAGGTGCCAACGTATCACCTAGGAAACAACAACTAGAAGGCAGCTAGATAGATGGGATAGAAGTTAGGAAAATAGTCTGAGTTACTGATAGAGATTTTCAAGTCCTCTGGTAGAATTATCAGTGAGATCATCCCAGGATATTATTTACAGTGAGAAAATAACAAGGGCAGAACCCCAAAGAATATCAGCAATTAAAGACTGAGAAGAAGAAAAGAATCCCAAAGAAGATATTAAGAAATTATAGTCAAAGAATTAAAGGGTAAACCAAGAGACTATGGTATCAGAGAAAGAAAAAAGAAATTTTGAAGTAGTAGCTCATGATCAAATGTCACAGAAAGGTCAAGTAAGATGAATTTAAAATGGTCTATTCAAGGATGCCCACTTCCACCACTTTTATACAACATAGTACTAGAAGTCCTAGCCATAGCAATCAGGCAAGAGAAAGAAAAAAAGGGCAACCAAATTGGAAAAGAGGAGGTCAAACTATCCCTGTATGCCAATGATATGATCTTATACCTAGAAAACCCTAAAGACTCCTCCAAAAGACTCCTAGAATTAAACGAATTCAGTAAAGTCTCAGGTTACAAAATCAATGTACACAAATCAGTAGCATTCCTATACACTAATAACAGACAAGGTGAGAATCAAATCAAGAATGCAATCCCACTTATAATAGCTGCAAAGAAAAGAAAATACCCCATCATTAAGGAAAGCACTCACACTGAAAGATCCAGGGAGAACCTGAGCCAGGTCAATGAAAAAAACAACTGAGAAATATTCAAGTGAAATTCAGAAGATCAAGGAGAGAAAACAGTCCCAAGAACTAACAGAAAGGAAAAAGATTCCTTAAAAAGGAACATGATCCAGAACATCACATGTCTCATTAGCAACAATGAAAGTAGGGAGATGAAAAAGCAGACTCTTCAAATAAAATGAACTTCAAACTTAGATTTCTTTATCCAGCCAAATTATCATTCAAGATTCACTTGTAGCCTTGATGAACTAACAGGGACCAGATCTACCCTCCCACCTTAAACAACTAAAAGTCTGAACAAAATATATAAAATAATGGTTTTCAAACACTGAACAACAAGCAGACAGGACAGCAATCCTTGAGAAAAGGGAAAGAAGGGAGGTAAGCCCAAACAACTGACCAACATCATGCCTGGCAAGTACTCAGACTGCAAGACAGAGAAGGCACCCAAACAGCCTGGCAGTCTCCCTGAGTTGGGGAAACAGCATTTGGAGCTTGGAAAGCTGAAGACTAGAATTTCCATGTCAGAGAAGCAAAGAAGAAAGAGCTGCACAGAGAAAGCATGCTCAAGCTCTGAACAGAGTTCCTGGAGTCACCTGCTGATTGACAAGTAGCATATTGTCAATAGTATCTGAAGTTCAATCAGGGCTGCAAAGGTTGCACATTTCCAATAGCCTGCAAGGCAATAAAGCACCGGTACTCAAAGGAGCACTGCCATAGCAGTGGGGGCAAATTAGTACTGAAGACCATTCTGTCCCTGCCTAGCAAAGCTTAAAAGTTAGCCTTGAAAGACTCAAACTATTTCCAAGTAACTTAACTGCATCCCAGAATAAAGACCCAAAGTATTTTAAAAAGACCAAAAACTGCAAGCTAAAATACACAACACCTGGCACGCAATCACAAATTATCAGACATGTAAAGAAGTAGGAAAAGACGACCCTAATGAGGAAAAAAATCAATCAGCAAACAGAGACTTGGAAATGACAAAGATGACAGAATTAGTATTAACAGATAAGGTTAAAACAGCTATTATAATTGTATTCCATTTGTTCAAGAAGGTAAGGAAAAGCATAAATATTATAAAGAGAGACACGGAAGATATAGAAACAATCCAAATCAACTTTAAGAGATAAAAAATACAATATCTGAGATTAAAAATATACAAGGTCTAGATGGGATTAACAGATTAGACACAGTAGAAGAAAAGATTAATGCACTTGAAGACACAGTAATAGAAATGATCCAAAATGAAACACAGAGAGAGGAAATAAAGACTGAAAAAAAATGAAGAGCATCAGTGAGCAGCTGGGAGAGCAACAAGTGGCCTAATGTATGTGTACCGGAGTCCTAGAAGAAGATGGGAAGAGGAAACAGAAAAATGTTTTTGAAGAAATATGAATTTTGTCCAAATTTGATGAAAATTATATACTCACAGACCTGAAAAGCTCAATAAACTCCTGTATAAAATGACCATGAAGAAAGCTACACAAGCCGCATTGTAATCAAAATCAAATCGCTTCCAGCAATAAAGAGAAAATTTTAAAAGCAGTCAGAGAAAAGACATATTACATACAAAGAAAAAAGAATGACAGCAGACTAGTCAGAAAAGGGCGTGCCAGAGGTAAGTGGAGAGCCATCTTCAAAGCACTGTAAAAAAAAACCTTTCAACCTATAATACTATACCCAGCACAAATATTTGTTGAAAACAAACACAAAATACTTTTTCAGACATACAAATGCTTATCAAATTCACTAGCAGACCACAATTATAAATCATCACTTAAGCATGCACAAAATAAGGGCATTTTCCAACAAATCTTTGAAAGTTTCTCTCCTAAAGAATTACCAGAGGATATTCTCCAGCATGAAGAAAAGTAAACTGAGGGGACAATAGTAGGATATAAGGAATAACATTGAGAAAATAAGTTAGTAAATCTTTTTAAGTCCAATAATTGTTTATAAATATTTTAAAGAAAAATTTGTAACCAAAATTTCAGATGCCATTAACATGAAAAATATGGAGAAGGAAAAAGATAGGAGGTTCTTTTCTACTATCTAGAGGAAGGATACAAATACAAATTAATTTCAGATACGAGAAAAACAAATTGAAGTCTGTGTGTTAAAAATATAAAGGGGAACTATTAAAAAATTGAACTATGTTTCTATGACATTATTTCAAAGAAAAAATATCCTACATTGAATAACTACATTAACTCACAAAGATATCACTATGAACTTAGATAAGTAATAAATCTAATTAAGATATATCACCATCTAATCAACCTATTTTGTACGTAAGCGTGATGCTTCACGGGGTGCTGAGCTGACAGAAACAAACATCAGCTGTTCTGTGGACAAAAGGTAAAAAGGCATTTGTGCCTCTACAAGTCAAAACTAGCTTAACCACTGAAATGATTATCTAAAAACTTAATATTTTCTGGGATACATGATTTATTAATAGTTAATTGGCATAAATAGAGGCTTTAATATAATTTGTTTCTAATTACATTAAATGCATAGTTACACATGTAACTATACATGTGAACAAATGTACAGTTACACATACACTTACCCAAACACCTATTTCCCCTTTCTCTTTTAAAATTCTTTGCTATTTAAAAATATTTAAAACTAAAAGATTATTTGGGGAAAAAAAGCCCCAGCAATATAAGAACTTGTTTCTTTAATATGAGTATCTGGGTTGCTATATCCATTTTTACTCTTTAAAGGAACAGCTATGAACTTAACTCCCAATTAACCAAAGAAACAGTAGCATTCCACACTTGGTAAAAAAGAGATAGCAGAAGAGAGGTTAAATAAGACATTCAACTGTTTGGGTTTATTTTTTCTTAAGATATAGGGTCTCATTCTGTTGCCCAGGCTGGAGTACAGTGGCACGATCACAGCTCACTGCAACCTTGAACTCCTGGGCTGCAGAGATCCTCCTGCGTCAGCCTCCCAAGTAGCTGGGACTACAGATGTGTGCCATCACACTCGGCTAATTTTTTTAAAACATTTTTTGTAGAGACAGAGTCTCACTGTGTTGCCCTGGCTGGTCTCAAATTCCTGGCCTCAAGCAATCCTCTCGCCTTGGCGTCCCAAAGTGCTGGGATTACAGGAGTGAGCTACTGCATCAAGCCCAAGATATACGACTTTATAGTCTGTGAATGACTTGAGTATCCTTATTTCCTATTATTGTGCATGGATTGTTAGATTACAATTCCTTTTATTCATACTTACCTTATTCCAGACCTTAATTTGGAATACTAAAAATTCAAAATCTCAAACAAACAAAAAAATCATACCACGTGTCCTTCCGCTCGAGCCTTATTCTGCATAGCTTCACGTTTTCGCTGTAGGAACTCTTCCACTTGTTTAGCTCTTTCTACAGTTAGCTGCCCTTTTTGCCTAATTTGGACAAATTGCAAAGTTAGTAATTCTGAACAATATATATTCCAAGAAATTAAAAATTTTACTTATTCTAAATACTTTTTCGATTGCAGAATATGAAGAAAGGCTGACATGAAATACAAACTTTCTCTTTAATGAACAAATCACAACATATATATCGATATCTACTGACTAAATCACATTCTTTACTATTTTAAATAAAAGTAAAATCTATAATTTTACTCCAAGTCTTAACAAGGTGGTTTTTTTTACATTTGTTTAATCTATTCTACTTATAGACACATAAAATTATTTTAGACTATACTTAGTTATGGAAAAATCTCAATAGTTTCCAAGTTTATTTCAGAACTCTCTATCAAATACAATGAGAATTTTCTCTTCAGTATTGAGGTTAAATGAAAGTAGGATAATAGCAATTTTAAAAATGAACAAAAAGAATGAAAGGTTTACTTAAGTGTGAGTTTTCAAAAATGCAGTAAGAAGCTATGTCTGAATTCCCTGAATATCACAATTATAATATTAAAAAGTAAAATGGTTAGGTTAGGGAAAAATTAAAAGCACAGTTATTTGTTATAATCTTTTCCAACTTTACTATTGTGTCTTTCACTGACAATTATGAAAGAATGTAAACATATTAAGCTTAGATTACAAATAAAAAATATCAATTACAAACATTTTTTGGGCATCTACTATATGCTGCAGTATATCTACGATACACTTAGCAGGTATTATGTTAAGTTTGGAAGATAAAAAAATAAATAAAACCCAGCCCCAGTAATCAGAGAACTCATAGCACAGCACCAACTGCAGTTAATTTTGGAGGTGAGGAAAAAAACTTCCTATAGGCTCTCTTTGGCATCATAACTAAAATATGGTCTCAAAAATACATTAAATAATGTCTTTTCTTTTAGTAAGATTTAAACACTTATAATTTTCATACCCGAAATAATCAAATCTTTGACATTTTTTGGCAACAACTAACTGAAACACATAAAATATTTTAAATATGAAATTAAGCTGTAAAACTTAAAATCTATTCTATTAGGTCATTAAATATGAAATGTCCAATTTCAAATCAAAAGTTTAGTTTATTATGTCTCAAACAAGAAGCAGTGCAATTAATCAAACTATGCACTTAAACTATTGACATGGTTTTGCCATCTTAACGGTAGCTTATTTATGCCAGCAGCCAAGAAGCCTGGAGAGCGAGTGGCAATGAAATTGCTAAAGGCATTTTCCACGGCTTGTTGAGAATTGAATATTTTTCTTTGCAAGAAGTGATCCAAAGCCTGGAAGAAGTGGTAGTCAATTGGTACAAGGTCTGGTGAAGATGGTGGATGATGGAGAGTTTCCAAGTCCAGCCTCTCTAGTTTGAGCAGCGTTATTTGTACAAGAGGTGGAGTGCTGTTTTCCAAGAGGATTGTCCTGTCTCTACTGACCAATCTCAGCTGTTTATTCACAACCATCCTAATCATTCTGTCCAACTTGTTGCAGTAGACATCTGCTGTAATTGATTGACCAGGTGTCATGAAGCTGTAGCGGATAATACCAGTGATGGACCACCAAACAGACACCATCAGTTTTTGTTCACGAATATTTGGTTTTGGACTGTGTTTCAGCACTTCATCTTTATCCAACCATTGTGCCGAACGCTTGCAATTGCCAAAAAGAATCCATTTTTCATCCCACGAAACAATACAGTATAGAAATGGTTCACTCTTAAGTCATGACAGAAAAGAAAGGCAAGCTTCGAGATGATTTCTCTTCTGATGCTCATTTAATACATGCAGTACCTACCTATACAGCTTCTTTACCTTGCCAATTTCTTTCAAATGGTCCAATGTTGTTGGAATAGTAACATCAAACCTTGCTGCTAATACATGCATAGGTCGACAATGGATTCACTTCCACTACAGCTTTTAGCTCATCATTATCCACCTCAAGTAGCCCACATGGCTCATTTTCAATATTAAAATCACCAGAACAGAACTTCTCAAACCATCGACATACTGTGTGTTCAGTAGCCACATCCTTCCCAAACACTTCGCTGATATTTCAAGCTGTCTGTGCAGCATTGGTTCCATGATGGGACTCATATTCAAAAATAACACAAATTTTTGACTTATCCATGGTGTCACAGAAATTGCTCTAAAAAAATTTTGATAGATAATCACAAGCCAAACTGTGTGTTTGAAAGAATGAGGATGTAACGTCACAATAAAAATGAAACAAGAAGTGCCAAAGTGAAATGTCAGAGATATCAACTATTGAATTTAGTACTTAGGGAAATCGGACATTACATACTTAATAATAAATATCACATGCTATGAATGATAGTGGTCTAAGGTTCATTTACCTTATGTGGTAATTAAAAGAGATTCTTATGAAATTTCCATTATAGGAATTTTCTAGGATTAGATAATCTCTGTAGCTGGTTTAAGGGCCTATTACTGTGACTCTCTATTATGTCTGGAAAGCTAATTCTTAATCTAGTTTCACATCACTAAATTCAGAAATACACTTCACCCACACCATGTTGGCTTGAGTGGATTAAGAATAATGAATGACAAATTTGTTTGTGCCTCTGTAGTGCATATGGACTGTCCTCTAGCACTCATAATACGCACTGTATGATTCTGAGATTGATAAGGTATATCGGGTCTGAATGCAATATAATGCAATATATCTCCTACATATATCAAGGCAGGGCTGTATCCCAATCTGTGATAGCCTCATTCACATAAGGCTGGGTCTGAGAAGGGCTGATTAACTTTCAGGTGTGGTGCTCACACACGTCATATGAAACCGAATGGCTACAGATATGGCTGTTTTTGAGGGTCCTGGAAGCTTACACCATCATCTGCAACAAGATAAAATAGCTGATCTCTCTGCTGTGTATCCTGACTACACTGACTTCCTGTTCTAACCTTTGTAGAAGTAAAATATGTTTGACTTCCCATCCTAAGCTAGTCTGTGTCCAGTGTTCACCAGCCTGAACATCCAATTTGCATATGTTAATACAGCAGTTGTAAAGAATTGTTTTACTAAGAACCTGGTCCTATGTACAACAGCTCTTATAGAGTTTCACACCATTTATGCATATATAATACTACTTGTTCTATATATTCCTATGGTTTGTAAGTTTCGCTTCATTGAATAGTTATTTGCTAAGCTGGTTTAAATAAGTACATTTACATTATTGGCTGCTTTCAAACACAATCTTAAAACCTGTTGTGATTTTATTTAACACTATTTCTTTTTTCCTTTCTTTTATTAAACAGATATTTACTGAGTGTCAACTATTTGCTACATTATATCTGTCTAAAAGATGAAAAAAACAGAGTTCCAGGAAGGCAAGTATCATTCAACATAGGAAAATCAATCAGAGTAATATACCATATTAATAGAATAAAGGACAGAATTAATCAATTCTACAATTCCTTTAAAAACCTATAAACTAAGTGTCTTTATTTTCCCCATGCATTATTGTTTACTACTTTATATACACCAAAAAGAAAAACCTATAACTCATATTCTTATTTCTCTCTAAGGTAGTAAAAACTATGCTAAACCAGAGACAAAAACTATATATTTGTGCCAGGCTCATGGAGATAAAAAGGAAATAGTCAATTTAATTCTTGATAGTCATTCTCTTCATTGAACATTATTAACAATTCATATGAGCATGAAAATTAGATTGTATCTTTTGAGTTCCAGAATTACACCACGTAAAAATCAGTAAAAGTTTGACCTGGATTAATAACAAAAGGATGATAATATAAATACAAATATACAGTAAGAAATCAGAAATTTGGAAAGTAAAATATAAAGACATTAAAATGGGCCAAAAAGTATATATTAAGAGGATAGGATATATCAAACAATAAGATAATACAACTATGGTGTTCTTTTATTGAGAAATAAATGTTCTAAGACAAACTTTTCTTTTTCCTTTTTTTTACTCTGACAAGAAAAGGGAGGAAGAAATAAGTTATTTTCTTTCCCTTTCTTACTGTAAATGCATGAATAATGCGTGGGTCAAATTCTTTACTGATAAGAACAATTTAAAATTTTTGAAGGATGATTATAAATGGAATATTTTAGGAGGCACAGACAATATAAAAATGGTAACAGATAATCTGAGAAATAAAAATGAGTCAATACTGTTTAAGGTAGAAGAGTTGGGGTGGTATAGGGTTAATGAGATGAAAAAATGATGTAGAGGGTTTATTCATTAAGTTTCCTCTTCTGTTTAAGGGGCATAACGTCTACCCGACGGAATGGAATTGCTGTCAGCTTTACCCACACTAAAGGAAGCGGTGCAGAGAAAAAGACTTGGAAAAGTCAAAGCACTATAAAAACCTATGTGTTAGGAGGCACTCAATAATTTACTATAAAGTGCTCCCACATGGCTTGAACTCCTAATATTAAAAAGCTAATAGAAGACGTATGTTATTAAGACATGGGCGTCAGCAAAGTCAGACTAGCCAGAGCCACTGATCAGAAAGGAAGAGGAAAAGTAGTATCTTAAAGAAGGAACAGGCAAATACGGGTGATCCAAAACATGAGGAGAAGAGAATTTGAAAGAGTCCTAAATGACTACAGATTTCAGTTTGCCGATTCAATTTTTTTTTTATTAATAAAGCCAGCATTCAAACCCATGCTGATTCCGTTTTAATCAGGGAAAAGAACTGATGAGGAATGACAACATATGAGTTACGATAACCAAAAATTATGACAGTGTGGAAAGATGTTTTCTAATGCCAATGACCACTAAAAAGTACAGCACAAAAGAATCACAATACATTCAGCCTGGAAGAGACCTTGGGTATTAATACTAGTCCAACTTTACACTGAATAAAGCATCACTGCCATCTAAATACCCCTGACACATTGTCATTTAAACCTCTGGTTAACGCTGCCAGTTTGAAGATACTTGTTACATCTCACAATGGTCCACCCCTTGAACAGCTCTCATACTGGACTGAAATGTGTCTCTACTTCTCTTAGTCACAATCATTCTACCTTGTAGAAATATAAGTCTGATTTCTCTTCTGTATGACAAGCCAGTCAATTCATCCAAGCCTGCTCCTTTAACCAGGCTTTCTGCAACGGTGCCAACATTCTGACCGTCATTGTTCCTCATACAATGTTTCAAGCCTTAGTAAAGTCAATACAGTAGGACAGTTAAGTGAGTGAGCTTATTAGGAACCAAACTGTCCAGCTTCAACTCCTGGTTTCACTAACAGTTATGTGAACTTCAATAAATTACTTAATCACGCAGTGTCTTAATTTCTTTATCTGTAAAACAGCAAGAATAATAATTCTTGCCTTACAGCACTGGTGATGATTAACACATTGACTGCCACACTAGAAAAAGAATTTTTTCCCTGGGGCCACAGTGTTTTATTAAAACAAAATGATTCTTTCTAATTTGTTATTTTTTATTGTTTTCTGTGTGTGAGTTATATGCAACACAATCCACGTTTTCAGAATTAAATTGTCAATGTTAATTGTAACAATAAGAACATCAACAAGTAAAATTTTCACAAACCAACTGCAGGGTTTTGCTTCACAAGGCCCCGGGCTCAAAACTAGCCTGAGTTAACTACAACTCACATGGAAGTTAATGTGTTAATAATATATTAATTACCATTATTTTCAGTAGTTGTGTTCTATAAAGTCACCACAAATACTGACGTAGCAAATATTGAACCACTGCTCCTAGGGGAAATAGAGAGTTAGATTCCTGCGAGGCTCTTGTCATATCATTTTTGTCAAATGATTAATAGATAACCTTACTATATGTACACTTTCGTTTAAAGAAACCTAATTTTATATATATTGTGGATTCATTAACATTAAACTCACCGCCAACGACACTATAAACCAACGCCTGAATGAAGTTAGATTATCTGACACACATATTTTCTCCCGAAGGCAAATCACAGCCTCTCACACTTAGGATCACGGACAGCATTTCACCACTATGCTTGCAGGCCATTTTAAATAGTGAAATCACCAAACAAAATGTACAAAAACGCAAAAAACGTGGTGCTAAATCGACCACAAAAAGGACATTTGTTTATAGTATGAAGGTTGAAACACGAGGGAAGAGCAGCGTCTTGTTAAGTAACCCTCAGCTGGGAACCTGTACGTTGGTGACGCAAACTTTTTACTGTTCTGAGCATGCCCATGAATGACCACGAAAGTGCTGTGAGTATTGATCCTGGGTTATAAATAAATTTTGGCAAGTAGGCAAATTCACAGAGAACCCACGAATAATGAGGACTGACTCGATACGTAAAAAAAGAACGGGTCCTGGCACAGCTGCCCGATTAAATATTAGCTGCTGCTTTGTACTATTGTCATCCTCATCACCACTATTCGCTATTCTTACAGACATTTAGCTGTCAGTACCCTGCTGCGTAACCAGTACAGACTACAGGAAGCACTTCATCTCCTATACTTCTTTGATTTTAAACTTTATATTTTTTAAAAACTTCTTTAGTTTCTAAGAAGTTATTGGTACTGGACAGCTGGGGCAGTAAAATGGGCACTACCATATACTGTTAGATTGAGTATAAAGTAGCACAACTTTTCTAGAAAGAAAATAACACTTCTTTCTAGAACCTTCTTGAAGAACACAATTTACCAAATCCTTTAACCTAGTAATTGCCCTTATAAGATTTGATTTTACAGAAATGATAAGAAATGAAGAATGAAATGTGGCAGAAGAGTGTTCAAACAAGTGAAAAATTACAAACAACTTGTTACATTAGGGGATTTGTTAGATAAATCATGGCACATTCAGGTACTGGAATCTTATGCAGACACTAAAAATCCCTTGAAAATAATTTTAACATAGGAAATACGTATGGGAACAATGTTAAATTTAAAAAGATACAAATTTGTACAGATGACTTAATTTCCACTATCTATGAAAAAATATGTAAAAAAGAATGCAACAAAATGCATTCAGAGCATACAGTGGCTGCCTCTGTAGAGATTAGGAATTATTTCCTCTCCTGTGTCCTAATACTCTCTTATACATTCCAGTTTTTCTAAAACTAACCTATATCACTTGGCAAGCAGAAAAACAAGACAAAAAAGCCTCTTGTGACTTTCCTTCAAGTTTTCTTTTTTCCTGGGCAAAAAAGAAAAAAGAGGTATGAAAGTGTGATCACAAAGCCTAGGTGACAGGACAATGACAAGGTAGTTAGCTGCTGGTATTTTAAAACAGAAATACACGAGCATTCTTGAATTCAGCAAAGGAAACAGAATTAAAAGGAAATCTGAGGATGAGAGGAAGAAAAAAAGATTAAATGTCTTTGTGCAAAGCAAAACATTAAGGGGCAAAGACAATTAGTTTAAGTTGGAGGGAAGAGTGAAAGGTGTTGATCCATGACAGTGGAAAGGATTATAGTATTTACATAAATGTAAGACAAAGAGTACTAGTGATATGTACTATGTAGATTAGGAGAATCTCATACACTCAGTAGTTAAATCATTTCCTTTCAAATGATTACCAGCTATAAGGTCATTTTTATTCTTACAGCAAAATATAATTACCCTAGTTTGAAGGCTTTTCTAGTATATTCCTTTTTCATTTACAAGAAATTTCACGAAGAAACATTCTTAACATGTTTCAGTTTGCTAATTTATGAAATTCTTTTTCCCTAACTTAACCTATTGAAGTATATACTCCACAATGGTAAAAGAAATAAATTTGATTTCTCAATATTAAACTGTGAAATCAATATACGTTTTTTAAAAAGCTATAAAGCTATCCTAATTAGACAGAAGAATTACCACATGAAGCCAATATTACCCTCTTATTACTATGAGGCCAGTGTTACCCTAATACCAAAATCAGACACAAAGACATTATAAGGAAAAAAAAAAACTACAAACCAATATCTCTCTCATGAATATAAATACAAAAATCCTGAACAAAATATCAACAAATCAAATCCAACAATGTATAATTAGAATTATACATCACGACCAAGCAGGATTTCTCAGGTATGCAAGGCTGTTTGACAGATAAAAATTAATTAATGTAATCCATCACATGGACAAGCTAAAGAGGAAAAAAAAATCACATGATCATATCAATAGATACAAATGAAAAGCACCTGATAAAATCCAACATTCATTCATAATAAAAAAAATCTCAGGAAACAAGAATATAGGGGAACTTCCACAAATTCATAAAGAAGATCTACAAAAAACTTATACCTAACATCATACTTAATGGTGAGAAATTTGAAGCTTTCCTGCTAAGATCAGACACAAGAAAAAGATGTCCTTTCTTAGCACTGCTCTTCAATATCATATCAGAAGTTCTAGCTAATGCAATTAAGACAAGGAAAGAAAACATAAGGTATAGTATAGAGATCGGGAAGGAAGAAATCAAACTGGCTTTGTTCACAGATGACATTTTTGTCTATGTAGAAAATCCAAAAGAATCGACAAAAAAATTCATGGAATTAATGTGATTATAGCAAGGTTGCAGGATACAAGGTTAATATACAAAAGTAACTTGCTTTCCTATAAAATAAACAAGTGGAATTTGAAATTAAAAACACATTATCATTTACATTAGCACCCTCAAAAATGTAATATGTAGCTATAAATCTAACAACACATGTGCATATCTATATGAGAAAACTACAAAATGCTGATGAAAGATGTCCAAGAAGAAGTAAACAAAAGGAGAGATGTATATGTGTGGGGAAGGAGTATACAGGAATACTGCACTTTCCACTCAGTTTTGCTGTGAACCTAAAGTTGCTCTAAAAACAAAGTGAACCTATGATTAGCTTCACATCTCAGGCTTCTGTATATAATTTGTAATGTATTCATAATGTTAATTTATATTTACCTCAATAATTTATCTCTGCTCAATTATATATCAATCATCTTTTATAATGGGGGAGGGAATCATAAAGATTTTTATAACACTTGATGATATTCTTAAAATCAACACAAGGAAAAGACGATATGACTAAATTGTCACAAAACCTCATCTGTTCTTCCATAACTCACCAGAATGTTTTACAGAATAGGAATGTCGAAGAAAACTCACATGCATACTTAAGAAAAAAAGAACTACGTAAGTTACAGCCACTGACAGTTACCATTATTAATTTAACAGGAGAAAAGAAAAAAATCTGATGAACAGAATCACGAAGAGGTATAAATCAGAGACGAATGTGAAGAGAAAACATGCTAAGACAACAAAGAGAAAAGTGGGCTTCTAAGTGATGAGGAAAAGGAAGACAAAAAAACATGCTTTGGAGTTCTGCATAAAGTGTGATTTCATTTAAACTTATATTCTGATTTATTTAAAACAAGCGAATGAAACATATTACAACCATATGTTGGCTGAAAAGTTATTTGTTCATTTAAATAGTTATTTTCAGCCAAAACATATAAGTAAGACACAAAACTCAGGCGGAACGGAAGAGCTACATGCTTGCATGATGTAATCAAGGGCCAAGTTTGCACCTGGGAAAATTACTGCATCCAGGAGGCAGAAAATATTCCACGTGAAGAATGGAGAAACATCTACAAAGTGTAGGTACTAAGCTATACATGACAAAAGACAAAATCACACACAAGGATGAATCATGGATCATCACATTCCAACCTGTTTGTACTGGCTTGTTTAGACACGGCCTTCAATCCTTTCAAAGTTTTTCTAATAGCATCAGCAGCAGGGAAATGGTGACGACCTGCAGCCCCACTAGGGAATCCTGGACGAACTCCAGGCAGAATTCCTCTGTAGATAAATATGCATAGTGACTTTCATTATTTCTCTCAAGCAAAGCATAAGCAACTTCTGCAGAACACAGCCTTACCTTTCCAGAAGCCCTCGACCACGCAGGTCTCCTTTCCATTTGGCCTCATTCTCTTCTGCTCTTTGTTGCTGCATTTGATCAAAAATGGCATGGTAATGTTCATACTGTCCTCGAGGAGAAAAAGATGATGGAGCTATGGCCCCTCCACAGCCAATAAAGGGAGCCTGGGGATTAAACAAAGAGCTCTCAGTATTTATCTTGCAAGGTTAAAAGGTCTGTACTATCCTCAAAAGAAAATTTCAATGCTTGACTTTTTACAGGTAATTATGTAATACAAACATATTAATAAACATAAAGCCTAAAGCTGGGTAGTAGCCTTTAAAAAAACATTGTTTTGTGTGTGAAGTGATAAGAACAGAAGCCAGAGTACTGAGAGTAAAGGAGGAAAAGCTTCCAGGTGATAACATCTTAAGGAAGAAGTCTGGATAAGAAAAGATAAAAAGAAAAATATTAGAATCAAATAAAGGAAACATCAATGTAACCCAATAAGATCAAATTTGTTTTAACATCTTGGCACAGTAAGTTGCACAAAATTTTATAAAAAAGCATGATTTTTGAAAAATCAGTACAAGGCACTTTGGGAGGCCAGGTGTTTAAGACCAGCCTGGGCAACACAGCAAGATCCCTATCTCCACAAAAAACATAAAAATAATTAGCCAGGCATGGTAGCATGTGCCTGTAGTCCCAGCTACTCAGGAGGCTGAGGCAAGAGGATCTGTTGAGCTCTCAAATTCAAGGTTACAGTGAGCTGTGATTGGGCCAGTGCACTTCAGCCTGGGCAACAGAGTGAGATTTTATTTAAAAAAAAAAAAAAATATCAGTACACGATAAATATAGATTAACTGATTAAAGATGTTCAAATAATGAAATTAAAATTGCTAGAAATAGGAAAGAAAAATAATTAGGCAAGAAACTCTATCAAGGGGTCCTCACATACGTCCTTAAAATATGCATCTCAAGTCAAAAAACAGAATCCTGTTACATCTCCAAAGAAACTGGTTACTCTTTGGGTTTAATCTAGTGCTAATATCATTTTAACTTGACTTTGTTGTTTCTCTTCAGCAAAAACAACCATATGTAAACATCTCTGAAGATGCTTATATTCAAAATAATGTTGAAAATACTGTATTAGAATACTAAAGCATTATGTTCTTTTGAGGTATAATCCATACAATAAATAAAAGTCACAAATTAGAAACACAGATTGATGAATTTGTTTTTGAGATGGGGTCTCACTAGGTTGCCCAGGCTGGTCTTGAAATCCTGGGCTCTAGGGATCCTCCCATCTCAGCCTCCCAAGTAGCTGAGACTACAGATGCGTGCCTGGTTGATGGATTTTTGACAAATATGTATACTCACGTAACCATCACCACAATCAAAAGCATATCTATTACCCAGAGAGTTCCCTCATGTTCCTTTGCAATCAATGTTCCCTCACTGCCAGGAACCACTGATTTGTTTTCTGTCACTATAGATGGGATTTGCCTTTTCTATAACATCATATAAATGAAACCATAAATATGTACTCTTGCCTGGTTTCCTTCCCTCAATAGGTTTTTGAGACTGATCCACGTTGTTGCATGTATAAACAGGCTACTCTTTTTTTATTGCTAAATAGCATTCCAATGTAATTTCAAATGATAGATACACCTCTTATATAT